TCCTGCTCCATGGGGAGATTTATAGCTATGAGACTAGCAAAACTATGATGTTAAAGAATGCTGAGGAGATTGTAGCCAGAGGGAACGAGTCTCATGGAAATGGACGGGAAGGCTCTTACCATGTTCTTATGAAGGTGCGTTGCAGAGTCTATGATACAGCATTCCATCCAGGGCACACAGCCTGGAGAAGCTCTGACAAACCTAGCAAAAGGCTGTTCACAGGGGCACTCTTCACCACAGTAAGGAGTGGAAACGAACCAAATATCCAATAGAATTAAAAAGAAATAATCTGAGACCATCCTGGTGGTACACAGCTTTAATCCTAGCACTCAGGAGGCAGAGACAGGCAGATTTCTGTGAGTTTGAGGACAGCCTGGTCTACAGAGTAAGTTCCAGGACAGCCAGAGATACATGCAAGTGAGAGAAGGAGAAGAGGAAGAGGAAGAGGAAGAGGAATTAAAATAGAAGGAATAAGTTTAAAAAACAGAATGAGGGCTGGTGAGAGTGACCAGCCAGTAAATGCTATGTGAGCATTGCACCTGAGTCTCATCCCTGAAATCCACATAAGGGGGAAGAAGAGAACTAAGATTTTATCACAAGCCGGGCATTGGTGGTGCACGCCTTTAATCCCAGCACTCGGGAGGCAGAGACAGGCGGATCTCTGTGAGTTCGAGACCAGCCTGGTCTACAGGACAGCCTCCAAAGCCATAGAGAAACCCTGTTTCGAAAAACCAAACCAAACCAAACAAACAAACAAAAAATGTCCAAGGGGACCCTTGGATGGAAGTGAATATAAGTCATGAAAGTACTCAATGTCTGTTACTACAGTTGCCTGAGGAAATTCTTGAGGACACTAGCATGGGAATTCTGAGTATAATCTGATTTGCATTAGTTCCCATTGTGTTTTTGAATTACACTTATTTATTCATTTATTTTGGGTGTGTATATGTCATGACATCCATGTGGAGGCCAGGAGACAACATGTGGGAGTCTGTTTTCTCTGTCTACCATGTAGGGATTGAATTCAGTCTTCAGGCTTGGTGGCAGCCACCTCTACCCACTGAGCCATCTTGCCAGTCGTCCATCTCCCATTACAATTTGTATCTTTCCCTTAAATCTTCACCAGTAGTGGTGGTTGAAAAACGCAGGAACTGGGCAGTGGTGGTGCATGCTTTTAATTCCAGCATTCCAGAGGCAGAGGCAGAGGCAGGCAGATCTCTGTGAGAGAAACTCTGTCTGGGAGAGGGGGGAAGAGGAGAAGAAGAAGGAAGAAGGAGGAGGAGGAGAAGGAGAAGGAGGAGGAGGAGGAGGAGGAGGAGGAGGAGGAGAAGAAGAAGAAGAAGAAGAAGAAGAAGAAGAAGAAGAAGAAGAAGAAGAAGAAGAAGAAAGCTCAGTGGTAAAAGGCACTTGTTGCCACACCTGACAACTTGAGTAGGTTTCTACCACATGGTGGAGGAACCAGTTCACTGGTGCTGAAGAGATGCATTATCAGTTAAGAGCACTGACTGCTCTTTCAGAGAACCCAAATTCAATTTCCACCACCCACATCCTGGCTCACAACCCTCTGTAACTTTAGTTCCAGGGGATTCAGTGCTGCCTTCTGGCTTCCTCAGGCACTGCATATACAATATTCAGTGCATGCAGACAAAATAGCTATATGCATAGTAGAAGAACCAACTTTCAAAACCGTGCATTGACCTCATGTGCACATTGGCACATGTATGTGTGCATATTCACACATAAACGTAACTGGAATTGGATGAGGCTGCTGCAGGCTCTGCTACAGATGTGAGCTTGCTGCCATGTGAGCTTGGAGCAGTATGTTAACCTCCTGAACAGCAGTTTTCTCACCTGGTGCACACAGACACTTTACCTGTGACAGGGCTGCAAATAAGGATTAAGTCGATTTTATATGTATTATTGGCAAATTTATTAATATTCAGTCCATGTTAGCCAATAATTTTCTCATTGTTAAAAAGAGATACCAGGGGCTGGAGAGATGGCTCAGAGGTTAAGAGCACTGACTGCTCTTCCAGAGGTCCTGAGTTCAATTCCCAGCAACCACATGGTGGTTCACAACCATCTGTTTGTTATCTGTTATGAGACCTGGTGCCCTCTTCTGGTGTGCAGATATACATGGAAGCAGAATGTTGTATACATAATAAATAAAATCTTTAAAAAAAAAAAAGAGATACCAGGCCATGGGGCAGGAGCCAGTAACCCCAGAACTCAGTGATGACAGAAGTTCAAAGCTAAGGCCAGATTTGCTGCATGAGAAAGAAAGAAGGGAAAGGGTGTGTTTACATGAATGACACCACTGCTGGACTCCAGGCAGTACCTGTTCGCCTCTGTAGATCACAAGCTCCAGAAAGCCAATGAGACCAATTGTGAGGACTTCCATAGGCTAAGGCATTGTGAGGGATTGACAAGAATGCCTTAGAGCAAGAAGCAAAGGGGCTCAGAAGGAAACGGTTGTCTCCCATGACCACACATGACCACCACATACATTGCCCCTTCCCAGCATTCTGTGTCCTTCTCCAAGGACATTCAACTCCAGGGCATTCCCTCGGCCACAGTGACCCATCCTCTCTTGTCAATAATTCAGAAATCCATATGACAGATGTTAAATTGACAGACACCAGGAAGAGATTATCTAGAGAATGCTGTGACCTTGCTTTCTTCTGGGAGAAATCTTGGTTGTTGGTTTCTGTGAGATGGGTCTCATTTCTCATTCTGTAGCCTAGGCTAGCTGAGAGCTCACAGCACCCCTGCCTTTGTCTTCCAAGTGTGTGTCTGTGCATCATTGAGCACGCCTGAGGCCCACAGAGGGCAGAATAACTCGGTTATGGATGGTTAAGAACCAACATGTGGGTGCTGGGAACGGAACCCAGATCCTGTGCAGGAGCAACAAGTGCTCTTAAACGCTGAGCCATCTCTTTAACCCAACACCCAGTCCTTAAAACAAAAACAAAAACAACAACAACAACAAAAAAAAAAACTGGACATGGTGACACACATCTTCAATTCCAGCAGAGGCAGGAGGATTTCCATGAGTTCAAGGCCACCCTGTTCTACACAGTGAGTGCAATGAGTTATATACCAGCCTGGAATACAGAACAAGACCATGTCTTAAAACTCAGAGAGAGAGAGAGAGAGAGATTATTTGAGTGACTTTGAAAGGACAGGTGCTTTTGCTGCTCTGCTTTCTCTTTCCTCATGGGGACAATGTTCACACAGCATGTTAGGACAATGAATCATTCTGATGAAAACCCCACAGTCAGGAAGTGGAGGCAGGAGGACTGAATGTGAAACCAGCCTGGTCTAAAATTCAAACAAAGCAAGAAAAGTGGGTGAATCATTCCAAGATACAGACTTGGAAGACATAAGAGTCCACAGCTCGTCAGAGTATTACGATAATAGAGTATTACACAGGTTGTTGGGTTGTCTCCTGTTTCTACAGAGAACCTGGAACTTCGCAAGCATGCATTTATTAGTGTGATGTTTGGTTAATCCTTATCTTCTGCCCACCATCTCCAAATAGGTCTCTTGCTATCAATGACTCGTATACTCAGTGACTGTCATTTAGTAGGTAACGTGTTAGGGTCAGAGATAGAAGTCAGGGGTTCCCAGCACTACCAAAGAAAGGAAAATGACCAAGAGAACAGAACTGACCACCAATAGTGCCTGTAATATTTATTTTTTGTTTCATAGTTGTTTTTGTTTGAAGCTGGGAGACAATTTCATTAAAAGTTTATGAGAAGCTGGGCAGTGGTGGCTGCTGGCACGCGCCTTTAATCCCAGCACTCAGAGACAGAGTTAGAGGCCAGCCTGGTCTAGAGAGTGAGTTCCATGACAGCCAGCTACACAGAGAAACCCAGTCTCCAAAAAAACAAAACAAAACAAAAAAGAGTTTACTAGAAAATCAACAGGGCAACAAAACTGCAAACAATGCAGCTGGGAGGAGGGGTGACTGTGCTTTGTGAGCAGCCAAGTGGGGAAAGAGAAGTGGAGTTCAGAGGAGAAAGCTCTGGACACCAGGGAAGGCAGGCCTAGGCTTTGGAAAAAGATAGAAGAAAGCTGAAAAGTTAGTTTTCTGAAGTAGTGTTTCATTTTGGAATAAGTATCTCCAATTAAAGGAGCAGACTAATTATCAGTGCTAAAACCTACCATCTCAGGGGCTGGAGAGATGGCTCAGAAGGGTGCTTGTTGCTCTTGCAGGGGACCCAGGTTTTGTTCCCAACACCCATATGGAAGTTTATGCCATCTGTAACTCCAGTTCTGGGGGAACTGACAGGCTCCCTCTTCTGACCCCTGTGAGCACTGCACATACAGTGCACATAACATACACGTCGGCAAACACTCCTGCACATAAATAAATCTAAAACCAAAAAAATCCTGTCTGCCCTGGTGGTTGAGGCTTTATAAGTCACACCTATTTTATACACCTGTATACCCAGAGTTGCATAACAGTTTCCCAAATGAAAGGAGGAGAAAGTGCAACAAGTGCTGGCCTAGAACACCCTTTGGGTGCCTGAGTGCTGTCACCAATCGCAGCCACCCAGATTTAAGAAAACCCAACTACATCACACTTAGGTGGAAGCTTATGAGATTTAATATTGATGTTCACCGTCTCTTTTTGTTTCTTTATTCTTAGTTACCTATTGTAACTAGTTATTTCAAAGTTTATAAGCAGTGGATGTAAATAGCCACACTACAATTCCAAAAGAATAAAATTCGGGCTGGAGAGATGGCTCAGAGGTTAAGAGCACCGATTGCTCTTCCAGAGGTCCTGAGTTCAATTCCCAGCAACCACATGGTGGCTCACAACCATCCGTTATGAGATCTGGTGCCCTCTTCTGGTGTACAGATATACATGGAAGCAGAATGTTATATACATATTAAATAAATGAAATCTTTAAAAGAAAAAGAATAAAGTTCATGTTGTTGCTGTAAAAAAAAAAGAAAAAGAAAAAGAAAAGAAAACCCAACTATCACCACAGTGCCTATTTAACGAGTCAGTCTTTATTCTGCACGCGTGTGGCGCATTAACAAGTTCAACATACAAGAGAGCATGACACATTGCAGGTTAGCGTCACAGCAGTATGTCACAGCAGTATGCAATTTCACACAGTTCATGTTAGCTTTTTCCTTTTTTTTTTTCTTTTTAATTTGACACTGTTATTTTTGAGCTTTATTTTTACAAGAGAAGACACAAGGTAAAGAAAGACGACCTGTTTGTGGAGAGGGATCGTGGTGAGGGCAATGTCACTGTCATGACCAATATTGAAAGTCTTCCATATCCCTCTCCTACATAGGTCACCCTGGTCCCACACAGCAGTTCTCTGCTCCATAGCACAGCACTGTCCATAAACGCTACATTGCAGCTGTGCTCTGCTAAGACTGCAAAGAAGGAAGAACTCATAATGGAACCTTTGATACTGTGAATAGCTCTCCTAGTCCCCAAAGAGTCAAGAAATCTACATAGGACTGGCTGCTGGGAGATCGGGAGTGACCTTTCCCTAACCTATTCCTAACCACAAGTGCCTTGTGCAAAAGCTAGGATGTGACTCTCTTGTCTTCCAACTGACAGGAAGAGGCATTCTGCCTCCACCCACACCAGCGAGCTCTACAAAGAGCAGATGTGAAAGCCAAAGTCAGCTAAGAAGCTTTAGGACATGCTGGATCAGGCCTGAGGTAGGAGGAGGAACCCTGCACTGTCTTTTTTTCTGGCAAAAACACCGAGGCAGCCCTGAGCCTGTGGAAGTACTGGCTCTCCCCATCCCCCACTGCTCAGTAGATCCAGGGGATGCAAGGGGTTGAGCTGCAGGGAGGTGGGGATGGGAGCAGCGGGAGAGGCTGTTTCCCCCACTTCTCAGGAGGAGCTGCAGAGGCACACACAGCAGGACAGAGACCAGACTCCACCTGTCACTCAGCATTGCTTCCCCGGAAGGAGACAGAGCTGCTGAGTGACTTCTGATCTTTACACATTAAGGCGACGAAGAGGAACCATTTAGATTTTTTTCCCCACCGGGGCTTGGAATGCTCCTGCCAGGTTTTCATTAAACTATGTCAAAATGCCTTTTTAGAAAACAAAAAGTATTTTCTTCTACGTATGATACAATATTTACATTCCATGGGTTAAAGGACAGAGACTAGTGGTGTGATCCCAGCTGATGGCGAGAGAGTAAATCAGATCATGGGATATAAAGGTTGACAAGGGCAAGAACAGAGTGGGTTTCCCTGCCTATACAGGACCACTCTGCATTGCCAAGAATCCCACAGGGGGGAAAAAATAAAAACCAAGACAAAAAAACAACAGAACAAAACAAACAAAAAAAATGGAAGGATGGGTGGGGGTGGGCAGAGTGGATTTGATTCTTAAGCACTAAGGGAACACCAAAGGCAGTGTCACCACCCTCTCCATGGAAACCCAGCTTGTCCACTCCTTCTCAGAAGCAAGCTAGGAAGTGATGGTCCTGTAGGGAATTGGGCACTTCATCACAGATAATCTTTCAGGCCCTGGGTCAAGCTGCTTCTTATTCTACCGAGGCCCTCTTCAGGCTGTCAAAAATAGGCACTGCCCCTGGAAGGTCACCTCTCATTCCTGAAGTCTCCATGCAGAGCCCTGGATCTGCACTGCCCTTCCCCGGGGCAGAAAGATGATGGAAGTCTGGTTTCCCAACCTTCACACCCTGCAAGACTCTCACTTCTCCAGCCTTCCACTTGCTGCTGAGGAGAGTGGGGCTCTGAAGGCATCCATCCCTGTTATCTCACTACTCAGCCCCACTCAGCTTTCTTAAGAGCCACTACTGTAAACCTTGGGGAGAAAGAGTCATTTCTGAGGCCTGTTTCCCTATGAAACAGAAAGCATCTACATCAGGAGGAGATGCCAGAGCTTCTGCGTGGATATTTATCTCCTTCCCTTGTCCCCTGACCTGCAAGTAGCGTTTGGGATCAGCTGGTGTTCAACGGTACTTCCCTCTGGCTGAGGCTGAAGGCTCCAAAGCTTCCAGAGAAGTCAGTGAGTCCTAAGTCCGGTTCCACCTCCCAAGCCTGCCATGCTCATCAGAGCTGTCACTAGTTACTGACTGCCTGTTGCCTGCCCCTTTATGGCAGGGGGCTAACAGCAGACATCCCATTCTCAATCACTGTTTCTCCTGCAAACCCCACTTGTTTCTTTGCTCACTAGAGACCTCTGGACTTGGAACACAGCCAAAGAGCAGAGCCCTGAGAGGTGATAGAAAAAAGGATGGAATGATGGGAACATGGGATTTTACAAGAGTAGACTTTTCTTCTGCAATGATGGGGTAACCCAGAGAAGCCCGATAAAAAGAGGCCAATTTTAGGGGGATCAGCAAATACAGTTCAGCACAAAACACAATTTTCATGGATTAAAATCTGCAACTTGATATCGGTTAGGCTAATTTCTTGTTTGTATTAGACATGCAAGTATAAGGTTACATTGTTATATATAGACTGTGGGGTCTTTCCTTCTCTCCCCCCACCCTCATTTTAAAAAGAAAAGATCGTCTAGTGCCTTGCAAAGAAGAAAACAATCCTCCTGCTAAGAACCGATCTGCAGCTGTGTGGAATATGATGTTCTTTGTGTGGTTTGTTTTGTAAGAAATTTTCTTCTACAACTAAAATGAGGTTTTGAGTCAGCTTCTCTGTCATCTCTCCCCGCCATGTGCCTCCCCAGCCTGGCCCCAGGGTTGGAGGCGAGAAAGAATTAGTACTCGCTCAGACTGTGCCATTTGGCTATGGGCTTGCGGGGACTCTCGCAGACCTCTCTCCAGTGTTCCGCACCACTGGTGGTGACACTGTGTGCCCCCAGGATCAGCCTGCCCACCACCTCATTCTTTGTAGTGCGATCGAAGTCAATGACAAGAAACTCAATGCTAATATCAGGCAGGAGGTCGGTGGGGATGTCATAGATGAAGGACTCATTGAAGACTGGGTTCAAAGTACACTTCTTTACGTGGGTTTTCTTCTTGGCGATGCGTTTCCTGCCGTAGTAGACGTTCACCTTGACATAAGGATCTGGAGCCACCAAAGAGAAAAAAGAGAGACAGGCCCATGACACAGTCCTCGGATATGTGTGGTAGCTTTGTGTTTAGAACCTAAATAGCCGTTCTCAACCTGTGCGTCTCGACTCCTTTGGTGTCCCCCGATCAGATATCCACATAATGATTCCTAACAGCAGCAATGTTACAGTTATGAAGTAGCAACAGAATAATTTTATGGCTGGGGATCACCGGAACATAAGGAACCACACTGAAGGGTCGCAGCATTAGGAAGGTTGAGAAGCACTAGTATAGATGGAGGAGACGCTCGTTCTAATCTTTGCTGACTGACCATCAGGTCTCCGGTGGTCACACCATAGATGTACACAGGTGACACACGAGTCTGGCTGCCTAGATGGAGTCTGGGGAAACCAAGCAGGTTTGGAGTGGACCAAGTGCAGGTCTGTCTGAGGAAATCAGGAAGCATTGTCAAGGGCATGGGGACGAACAGATATCAGCAGTCCTTTTCACAAGTCTCACCTGGGACATCTGCTCTGCCATGCACAGGATTTAGAATGCCCCTGTTGGCTCACCCAAATCACCACTGTGGCTGGGTAAACTACCGGCCTAGTCATGGGGAGCAAAAGTAGACAGAAGACTAGGTAGGCAGTGAAAGAGAGCGGGGTTTGGACATGGTGAAATCAGGGGCAGTGGGGGGGGGTGGTTCAGACAGGTTGAAGTAAATAGCTGCTACCTGAGAGACCGGTGATATCCATCTTCGGCAAGTGTCTGGCTTTGAGGACCACCACTGTCATTCTCTGTGCCACAGGCTGGTATGACAGAGATACCTGGAGCTCCCCGCGGCTAATGCACTTCTGTAAGAGAGAGACCTCAGGTGAGAGTCCTGGCAGGGGAGCAGGGGACTCCACAGACCTGCAGAGGAGCGGAGCAGAGCCTGCAGGTGGGCACGCTTAGGGACAAGGAAAGGGTGTGCATCCAAGCCAGGTACAACATGAAAGTCAGCCCAGGCTCTTAAAGCTACACTGGCTGATTTAAATGCTGACTCCTGTGTCCTTCTCTCTTTCTTTTGGTGGTTCTAGGAATTGCATTTAAGGCCTCCTGCATACTAGGCTAGCATTCTACCACTAGCTGGGCCTTAGTCTCAGCACTGCAGAGGCTGATGCATGAGTTTGAGGCCAGCCAGGGCTGCATAGTAAAATCCTGTCTCAAAAAAAGAAAAGAAAGAAAAGTATTGGCCAGGTGGTAGTGTCACACAACTTAGTCTTAGCACCTGGGAAGCAGAGGTAGGTGACTCTCTGTTATGAATTGTAAATATCCAATATGCAGGGTATCTGATATTAGATCCCTAAAGGGGTCACAAACCCCAGGTTGAGAACTACTGTTCTAAGTGAAAAAGTAGTTCTAGGGATTACATTTGAAGCCTTAGCATTCTTGGCAAGCTGCAGCCCCCAAATGCAGCCTTTAGCTTTTGGAGGAAGCATAGGAGGAAGTATACTTGTGTTTCCATGGTTTTTCTCTGCTTGGCTGAAGCTCCACTTTGTTCTTGTTTTACTATACGGATCAGCTCTTGACTGTATTTGTAAGTACCCATGCCTAAATGCCTAATAAAAATGTTTTCCTTGCCTATCAGTGAGCTTCTGAGTTTTTTCCTTTTGTGAGTATTCAGAAAGTGTGACTGGAAAATCTAATTTCTCTTTCACTACTAGCCATAACAACACAGAAAGTAATGTCTCTGGGAAATGCCTTCCTAAACACCAAAAAATGAGCTGTTCAATACAGCAGCCATCAGCTGTGTGCGTCTGCCTTCCTTAGCTTCAACTCATTAAAAGTAAACGAGGAAGGGCTGTAGAGCTGCTTAGTGGTTAAGAACACTTGTTGCTCTTGCAGATAATGGAGTTTGACTCCCAGCACACACATGGTAGCTCACAGCCATCCATCACCCCAGTTCCAGGGAACCTGACATCATCTTCCACTTCTGACTTCCATGGGCACCAGGCACACATGATGCCCACATAGGCACCCCCACAGGCAAAAACTCAAACACAAATTTTTTTATTTTATTTATTTATTTATTTATTTTTGGTTTTTCGAGACAGGGTTTCTCTGTGGCTTTGGAGGCCGTCCTGGAATTAGCTCTTGTAGAACAGGCTGGTCTTGAACTCACAGAGATCTGCCTGCCTCTGCCTCTGTCTTCCGAGTGCTGGGATTAAAGGCGTGCGCCACCACCGCCCGGCTTGCTTTTTAATTATTAAAAAAAATCATTAAACAAGGAACTGGAGAGTTGACTTGGAGGTTAAATGCGCTGACTGCTTTAGCAGAGGACCGGGTTCAATTCTCAGTACCCACAAGTAGACTTGTAGAATATTACTTTAACTATGCAAAGGTGTGTTACATTTGTTTATTCTGCAATTGTTTAATTATGAAAAGATGTGTTGCTCTTTCACCTTGCCTGCCTAAGGCACCTGACTGGTCTAAGAAAAAGCTGAACTTCCAATAGCTAGAGAGGAGAGGAATAGGTGGGGCTGCAGAGAGAATAAGTAGGAGGAGGAATGTAGGCTCAAGAAAGAAGGAAATAAGGAGGAAGAGAACAAAGGAGAAAGAGAGGGACACACCCAGGGCCAGAAGCCAGGCAGCTGTCAGACATAGAGTAGGACATACAGGATGAAAGAAAGGTAAAAAACTCCGAGGAGGTAAAAACATAGATGAAGATAAGCAGGTTAAATTAATTTACTAGAGGTAGTGGGACAAGCATAAGATAAGGCTGAGCATTTATAACTAATAATAAATCTCTGTGTCATGATTTGGGAGCTGGTTGGTGGCCCCAAAGGAATCTTAATACATTTGACTTCCAAGGTGGGGTCCAAATTTCTACATAGGGCCTAAGAAAGCTGGGGGGAAAGCTTTTTTAAGCTTTAAAAGCTCTTTTAAGAGGCTTTTCTTGAGTAGCCAGCACATGAAGTAGAAACAACATGCTAAGTAAAAAGGCCTGCCACAGGCCAGGCACCAGCTTCCTAGAGCTGGGGTGGTTCAATGTAGCCATCAGTTAACAGCTGAAATAGAAGTCAGGCAGTGGTGGGGCGCACCTTCAATCCCAGCACTCAGGAGGCAGAGGCAGGCCGATCTCTGTGAGTTCAAGGCCAGTCTGGTCTACCAGAGCCAGGACAGCCTCCAAAGCCACAAAACCTTGTCTTGAAGAAAAAAAAAAGATTCACTTATTTATCTATTTTATGTGTATGTGTACTTTGTCTACATGCATGCCTGCACACCAGAAGAGGGAATAGGATCCCATTACAGATGGTTGTGAGCCACCATGTGGTTGCTGGGAATTGAACTCAGGACCTCAGGAAGGGCAGTCAGTGCTCTTAACCTCTGAGCCATCTCTCCAGCCCCTGAGTAGCCAGCACTCTTAACCTCTGAGCCATCTCTACTGCCCCAGCAAAGTCTTTAAAGAGAGAGTAAAGTAATATAAAGGAAAAAAAAAAAGTCAAGTAAAGACGGGAAATACACAGGGATTCTGTATAGTGTTGTATTGACTTTGAATTTTTTGAATGCTGATGTGCACATGACGGCTGCTGAGAGACAGTGGATTGTAAAAGGGACAGCTGAATTAAACCAGCCTAGAAACTTTAGGAATGTCTTAATTTTAAAATGGAATTCAGAAAATGTATTGCGTTGAGGGAAAGGTTATGCTTTTATTTCCACAAGAAACAAAAGACTATGGATTCCTTCAAGGTTAATAGAGATCAGGTTTGAAAATGTTGGCTACAGAAATAAACCAAGAAGGGATGGAGATGTCTCAGAGGTTAAGAGCCCTGACTGCTCTTCCAGAGGTCCTGAGTTCAATTCCCAGCACCCACATGGTGGCTCACAACCATCTGTAATGGGATCTGGGTCCCTCTTCTGGCCTGCAGGCATACATACAGACGGAGCATCCATACATTAAAAACAAACATCTTTTGAAAAAGAAAGAAACCAAGAAAAACTACAAAACAGGTGACATATATACCGATCACTCTGCATGGGAATAGTTCTGAGACTGAACAACTAATGTGACAACTAGCTTTCCCAGAAGATGACCATTATCTCAATTTTCTCAGTTCCCTAAAGATGCTGTTACCCCCCAGACAACAGTGCTGTGGAATAATAAAATGTGTTACATTCATTAATGCTATGGAGCAGTTGTTTAATGATGCAAAGATGTGAAGATGTGTTGCATTTTTTTCTTTTTTCTTTTTTTTCCGAGACAGGGTTTCTCTGTGGCTTTGGAGGCTGTCCTGGAACTAGCTCTTGTAGACCAGGCTGGTCTCGCACTCATAGAGATCCGCCTGCCTCTGCCTCCCGAGTGCGTGTGCCACCACCGCCCAGCGTGTTGCATTCTTTTATAAGGCATTTGTTAACTCTGTGAAGCTGTGTTACTTTGTCTGTCTAAAACAACCGATTGTTCTGATAACGAGTTTAATGGCCAATAGCAAGACAGGAGAAAGGATAGGCAGGGCTGGCAGACAGGAGAATAAATAGGAGGAGAAATCTGCAAAGCGAAGATTTAAGAGCAAGAAACAGAGTAGTACATTAGGGGTCAGCCACCCAGCTACACAGCAAATCATGAAGTGAGGAGAAAAGAAAAGATATACAGAAATAGAAAAAGGTAAAAGCCCAGAGGCAAAAGGTAGATGGGTTAATTTAAGAAAAGCTGACCAGCTGGGTAGTGGTGGTGCATGCTTTTAATCCCAGTACCTGGGAGGCAGAGGCAGGTGGATCTTTTGAGTTCAAGGCCAGCCTGGTCTACAGAGCAAGTTCAAGGATGGGCTCCAAAGCTACAGAGAAACCCTGTCTTGCAAAAACAAAGAAACAAACAAAGTAAATAAAAGCTGGCTAGAAACAAGCCAAGGTAGGGCTAGCATTTGTAAGAAAGAATCAATAAGCCTCTGTGTGTGTATTTATTTGGGAGCTGGATGTGGGCCCCCAAAGAACAAAGAGACAAAGAGTAAAAGAGTTAAAAACAACAACAACAAATCCCAACATTTTACCCTTAGAATGTGGAGCCATATTTCTATGTGGGGCCTTAGAAAGCTTAAAAAAAAAAAAAAAAAAAAATAGGTATGGGTGTACTGCAAAGCTAGTTCCAGGACAGCCATGTCAGTTATACAGACAAACCCTGACTTGAAAAACAAACAAAAACAAAAAGGAAGGAAAGAAAGGAAGGAAATTCTGCTGATAGCAGAGACTTAAACAGCCTTTTGCATGTTAAATAGAAAAAAGTGAAGTAAATAAAAACATCTACTACAGTGCAAAGCACTGACATTCCATACCAGGGCGGGGGAGGGGAGAGGGGAGGCTGGATACAGTCCTTGGTCAAATGCACCTTGGACAGGGCCCAGAACTTTAGGCCTGGCTTTCACAAACCAAGAAGCTGGTGGAGCCATCCAATAGAACCACACAGAGGACCCAGCTGTAGCTTAGCAATTTAAAGTTTGTTCACATGGTTAAAAAAGGATAAAAGAAATTCGGCAAAGGAGGTCCAGATGGAAAAAAAAAAAAAAAAACCTCTGAACAGGTTCTAGTGTATCTTACAATGTGTGTAGGCTTAAGAAAGAAAAGGGTTTGGACAGTCATAGAAAGAAATAAATAGTTTAAAAATAATAAAGTTTTTAAAGAGAGAAGTAAAGTAATTTAAAAAAGGAATAAGCCATGTAAGGATGGAAACTATACAGGGAGTCTGGATCCTACATAGTATTGTGTTGATTTTGAATGTTTTGAATGCTGATAAGCAAACAACAGCTGCTAAGAGATTTAGGATTGAAAGAAGGATTGAGGAAATAAACCAGCCTATATATTTTAAGAATGCCTTAACTTT